ATACAGAGAGAATTGCTGCCCCTCCATACTTTTTGAGGTTATACCTTGCCACAGTAAGACCTGAGGCACAGCCTCCCAGGGACACCTGGTGCACACTGAGCCATGTCTGAGACAACTCACCTTATCTGGCAGCCGCTGGGCAGAAGTGTCTGTGATCCTGTTGAACACCTTCTGCACTGCTGGGATGCTGATCAGGAACACCGGGCGCACCGTGGTGGCCAAAGAGACCAGCAGGTGACACGCAGAGAGCAGCAGCTTCTCCTGCACCTGAGAGAGAGACAGGGTGGTCAGGCTGCCCGGTAACATCCCACCCAGAACCTATGTCACACAGCACCAGGACTGCCAGGACCAGGAAGGGGAGCCAGGTGGGGGTCGGGCTCTGCTCCCAGGGAACAAGGGACAGGGTGAGAGGCAACAGCCTCAAGTTGTGCCAGGGGAGCTTTTGGTTGGATATTGGGAAAATCTCATCGTGGAAAGGGTGGTCAGGCATTTGAACAGGCTGCCCAGGGCAGTGGTGGAGTTCCCAACCCTGGAGGAATTTACAGCACATGGATGTGGCACTCGGGGACGTGGTTTAGGGGTGGCCTCGGCAGCACTGGGGGAACAGCCAGACTCAGTCTTGGAGAGCCTTTCCAAACTAAACAATTCCATGATTCTGACTTATTTATCAATTAGAGTGTAAGTCAGTTCCCTTAAGACCACAAAACAGAGATTTCCCTGCTTTCAAGCCAAAAAATATTAGTTTATAAGCCTGTAAATTGCTTATTCTCGAATTAGCACAGTGTTCTTCAGAGCTGCTCTTGCTCTCACCCTACGAGACATTTGCTGTGTCTCCCTCAAACCCACCCCTGGAGCCCCAGTGTGGTCCCTGAGCACTCGTGAGTCACCTGCTGCAGGTGGAAGCCCCGTGGCAGCAGTACCTTGGAGCTGATGAGGGGGGTGATGGCCTCCAGCGCCGTGGACACCAGGGAGATGAACTGCTCCGGGTTCTGCCGGTGAACTTCGCTGTAGAACTGGGCCAGCCAATGAGCATAGGCCTGCAGGGCTGCCAGGGACTGAGCGTGGCTGGGGAGAGGCACAGCAGCAGTCAGGGACACGGGACAGAGGGGACACAAAGAGAAGGGCACAGTGCTGAGAACGCTGGGAACGAAACATGGGTGTTCCCAGACAAATCCGGAAGCTCTGCCTTTAAAAATTCCTTACTGCTGTTTTTTTTTTCTTGGTCTTAGAATGGCTAGCAACTGGGCTAGCCATTGACCCCCAGTATTGAGCCAAAGGTGTAAATTGATAAGGTCAAGTTATCATCAACTGGTAGGTTGGTTATAACCATAGTTTATAATGACAATGTCATCACCATATTAAATCTGAGTCAGGATGTTTCAGACAGGTGTCCTCCAAACGTGCCTTTGTTAGGAGAGCATTAAAAAAATGGATCACAGGTTTCTTAGGGCCATCAGGCAGAGCAAAGGATGAAAACCCCTCGTGAACAGCTCATGGAAAACACCTCCCAAATTATTTTAAACCAGAAAAGGAAAGAGACCATTAGGAGAACACAAAATTCAGTGCTATTAACTTGGGACTAACAGGAGACATTCAGGGAACTGTATGATGAAATCTAGTGGGGTTTCCAAGGAGCTGCTATAGATGCAATTACAAAACAGAATACAGAATACATGTTCAGACCTTCAATTCTGCCCACAAAACAGCAGCTGGCAGGGAACACGTTTGGGCTACACAGCCTTGGGAAGGGAAGGTCTCTAAAGGGCTGTCCTAATGGTGACCTATCACCACCAGCACCAAGATTTCACACAGTGTCAACATCTGGATGGCAGGCAGTCATTTGTCCCAGAAATGGCTTGCACAGCTGGAAGACACATGTTTGTCTTGGAAGCCAAGGACTTGAAACCCTCAACTAGGAAAACCATCTTTTACCTGAGGCATAGATCTGACTTTGGTAGCAAAAAATCCACCAACTAGAACTACACCCTGACAGCAGATCCATTTCTTTACAATATCACTACTGCAACACTTATTTAATCAGTAATTACACTGCAAAAGAACGAGGTTTTTACAGGGCACAACCCCAGTTTGCTTTCAGAGCTAATACAATGGGCGTTCTTCCCTCTCAGCACAAACACATTTTTCTTTAAATGCCCTGAGTACATCCCTCAGAGGAAACAGTGATCCCAAACGCTGGCAGCAGCCTTGACTTTCATCAGTACAAAGAAGGTGCCCTGCTGGTGAGCTACCAACAGCTGGAGTGGTGATTCACAGAACAGCTCCCAGCGAGGGGGCAGAGCAGCAGACCCAGGAGCTCTGATGCTTCTCCACCCCCCAGAGGTGCCCACTTTGGGTGCCATCACCGACAGAGTGTATCCCATACTCACACATCAATGAGGTCAGGTTTCAGCACAGAGGGGACCGCGGTTTCAATGTTGTACAGTTTAATCTGGGATCCATATAACGTCACTTTGACCAGCCTGGAAGTGCAAACACACACGTGGCAGTGTAAATGGACTTTTGCGATTTGGATATAGACGTGTATAAATCAGCTTCAACACCTGACCAGGATGCAGCTCTTCCCCAGTCTGTGTTGATATTCAGCTAACATGCAAATAAGATTTAGACCATTTAGTTAAAAATAATTCAGAGCCTATTGCACTGTTTGTGATCAGATGGAACAAGTCTGATGTTCCTGCATGTAAACAAAAAAAAATTAATAAAGGCAGCTGCGTAAAGGCCTGAAAATCTGCAATTAGCAACTGTGTGCTAATTAAGTTTCTCGGAGGGGAAGAATAAAATGTCTGCATTTCAGCTTTCATAAGGTCTTTTCATTTAAGAAAAGAATCACAGAATTGTTAAAGTTGGAAGAACAAAAAGTCCAACCCTCAGAAGAGTTTTTGGTGATTTTGTTTTCAGAGATACAACTCTAAAGCAATCAAACTCTACATGTCATTTCTTTGCATCACAAATGCAGATGCTGGAAAACAAGCATCTCAGCGTTTTCAAGAAACTGATTTATTTGATCCTTCCTATTAAGTTATTTCTTTCATAAAGGACTTGGGAAACTTAGAAGGGACCTTAAAGCTCATCTCATTCCACCCCCTGCCATGGGCAGGGACACCTTCCACCAGCACAGGTTGCTCCAAGCCCCGTCCAACCTGGCCTTGGACACTTCCAGGGATCCAGGGGCAGCCACAGCTTCTCTGGGCAACCTGTACCAGGGCCTCCCCACCCTCACAATGGGAAGCTATTCCCTCTTGTCCTGTCACTCCAGGCCTTGTCCCAAGTCCCTCTCCATCTCTTTTGTCAGCTCCTTTCAGGTACTGGAAGGCCACAATCAGGTCATTCCCAAAACCTTCTCTTCTCCAGGCTGAACAATCCCACCTCTCTCAGCCTTTCCTCTCAGCAGAGCTACTCCATCCCTCTAATCAGCTTGGTGCCTCCTCTGGACTCACTCCAGATGTTGGTGCCCCCATATCTGGAGGCAGCTCTGCAGGGGGGTCTCACCTGAGGGGGCAGAGGGGCAGAACCCCCCCCCCCCCCCCTCCTGTCCCTGCTGTGGGATCAGCCCAGCTTGGCTTTACAATTAAGGCTCTGGCCACCAAGTTCTTCGCATCTCAATTCACCCATCACAAGGGGAAGCAGAAAAAGCCTCCCTCGTTTTCCCGCCCTGCAGAGCCCCTCGTGCTGCCGAGGGGACAGGAACGCCCCGTACCCACCTCTCCACCACGGTCAGGGCATCGTTGAACCTGGCAGCGAACACGTCCCCAGTGAAATACTCTGCCAGGCGCCCCACAGCCTGCAGCAGGGAGCTCAGGTCCCGCAGGGAGCAGTGCAGCCGCCTGCAATCGTTCTCTGCAGTGATGTTCAGCCTGTGCCCTGCAACGACAGCACGAAGGCCCAAGCGTCAATTATCGCTGGTCTAATCACCACCGACTCAAGAGCTGAGAATTCACAGCAGGGCAAGGGGAAAAAAAAAAAAGCCGTGTAACTTTGTTACATGCTTACTGCTCTTTGGGACAGGAAGCTATAGGAAATGTGAAGTTTATTCTAATTAGATTACAGTCATTCTTCTTAAATTAGCTTGGCAGCAGGTCACAGTTCAGATGGCAGTACTGTCCTTGGGACTCAACAGTCCAACTGGGAAAGACAATTCCAGCTGCTCTGAACAACACTTCAAATTCCTCTTAAAGGCTGATAGAGATGTTCCAAACTATTTCAGCCTTTTATACCTTTATTTTCTCCTACGTGATATTAATACCTACAGAAACAGGAGCCTTTTTGGTTACCTGCTGCTACCAGATGTGATCCCAGCCATTCCCTCTGCTGGCTACAGCTCCAGTGATCCAGTAGCACATTTGGAATAGTGAATTTGCTTCTGATGTGAAATGTGTTATGTACTTTCATATTTCTCAGATACAAGAAACAACCCAATAACTAGATCTGCCAGTCTTATTGCCCACACACTCCTCCTGCTGCTCAGGTGTGGATATCTGGGCTCAAACACTCCAGAACTTTCACTAAAAAAATCAAGTATGTTCTGTAACACCACCTTTCAAAGAAAATCATCTTTTCTGTCCACTCACTGTATTTAGTCTCAGATAAGGCTTTCAGCAACAACCTCTCAATTCTGTGCCATCAACACCAAGGACTGTCTGGACACAGTCCTGTACCAGGTCCTCTGGGATGACCCTGCTTGAGCAGGGAGGTTGGACCAGGTGACCCACTGTGGTCCCTTCCAGCCTGACCCATTCTGGGATTCTGTTCTACAGCCCAGGGCTGAATCCACACCTGCACCTGAGCTGCTGCTTCTGAGATGTGACAGATTCCTTTACTGCTCACACCAGAAAATTTCAATATGACTTTAAGCCACCTTAATATCCCCCATGCAGATCTCACTACTCTTGCTTTCCTTATTTCTCAGGAAGCAGCTGTAGTATTTGATGGTGCCCACCTGCTCTTAACACACCTGGTATCTTCATTTCAAGTACTAGATAAGGAAAGAACCATACCAAATAAAAGGAAATCACATTATTAGAGTTTTGTCTGCTGTTGGAGTTTAACTGCTGAGCCATCACACACCACACGTGTTCAGATCCTCAAGGAAACATGGAAGAAGAAACACCAAAGGAGGTCTGGAGTGTTCCTGCAATCATCAGTCAAAGAGTGAAGATCAGAGTGTTGCACAGGGATTATTACCTGTCCCTGAAGTGACCACGAACTGCTGGAGTCCCAGATACACTTCCAAGTTATCCTGCAGAACCGGAAACTACAAGAGACGAGAAAAAAACACGTGATTTTGGGGCCTGACAAACAGTTCCCACCCAACTACTGATTCCTCAGTCAGAGCAGAGTTTTCTGATTTCTCCCTAGAGCCTTCACACAGACATCAGGAGGAAGGGTAGGTTGCTGGGGCTCGGGGTTGATCCTGCATCCCACAGCTTCCCAGGTCTTGGCAGCTGTCAGGAGAACAAAGCTCACCACCCTGAAGGTACCTCTCTGTGGCAGCTCTCCTTTTCCACAAACACCAGCCATCAGCCCATCAAGATAAGGGTCTGACAAGTGGGAGTAAGGGCACAGCATGTCATCACTAGGAATGCACAGCTGGATGTACAATCCAGCCCAAAGAGAGCAGAGGAATGGCAGAGCCTGTAGTGCATTCAGTCCGTGCTGAATCCACTGCACCTGGATGTATCAGAATGAAGCTCCCAAAATATTATGCCACCAGAAAGTTGAGTTCAGTGCAGCACTCTGCCAGCAAGCTGCAGGCTGCATCAGCTGAACCCTCCCTGGGGAAAACAGCCAAGGGAGCAAACAGCACAGTCCTGGAGCATCTCGGCGTGGGAACAGCGTGAGCCCAACTCCATCACTCAGGAGTGACAGCAAACAGGCCAGGTCCTGGTGATACTTCAGCTGGAGAATATTTTTCAGCCCTTTCAGTCTGGCTCTATTTAATTTCTAGAGCCAAAAGTCACCACATTCAAGTAGTTGGTTTTATGGAAGTTCACTCCATCAGCAGAAGGAGCTGCAGCCCTTCCTTGCCCAGCGTGGGACAGAGTAATGGCAACTTGCTGTCCACTGGTTTAATTATTTGCTACTGATGGACTGCACCCCACAGCCCTGCAGACGCTGTGAAAGCACTGGGACCTGCTTGAGAACCTCCCACATCACCCAGAACGAGAATGAACAATGCAGGGCTCAGGAAAGCTCTCCCTGCCCAGTTTCCAACATGCTGTGCCTAATTAACAGTGGAGTGTCTTTGTATAACTGCTTGAGGGGAACTATTTAAAAAAACAGAGTATTTTCCTCGTGTGAATGTGTTACTCCAAGGAAGCCACATATGCTCTCCTCCATCTGACCCATATGTTCCCTGAACACTCACTCTGTTTGTGCCTCCTGCTGCTCACACTGTGCCACCACCCTGCACGGCAGTTTCTACTTTTGCCCACTACTTCAGAGCTTCCAGTGCTTAAGTTTCTTAAATGAAAATATCAACTAAAAAGGCACTTCAGGTCAGGCATCTTCTGCCTCTGCAGCAGCTCAGTTTTCTCTGCTTCTTGGGAACACGGTTCAGAGGTCGAGGTGTGTGGTGTCCCCAGCAGAATTAACACACCTGACCTGAGATCCCACTGCTGTTCCCCCTCCCCTTCTCCTCACCCACCAAAAACGCAGTGACTACCCTGAATTTTGGACTACATTTACAGCCTCGAGATCTCCTCCTCAAAAACTGCTGTGATGCCCCAAACCCAGACAACTTTTATACCACCAAGGTTAGCGACAGCAGCACTGGCTGCAGAGCAGCACTTACCCATGTTTACTGGATCTAATTCCCAATTGTCCCAGGCACTCTCTTCAGCGTTTATATCCAGCCTTTCATTTAAACAAAGATTCCACTCTCCTTCAAGCCCTGATAACGACACTCATCTGCCCAATTCACAGGCTGCCTCCAAGATAAACAGGAGGGAGGGGCTGCTGCCAAACGTTTGCACTTCGAGAGATGGGACTTTCTAAAGAGCTCAGCGTCCAGCAAGTTGGACTTAGACACTGGAGTACTCTCTTCAAAACACACCACGAAATCCAACAAAACATTTCTTTCCCCTTGCCAAGCTTTGCATCCAACCCCAAATTTCCCTGTTTTTCTCGGCACTGAGGCATCTATCAAACAGCTTGCAACCAGCTCCGACAGCTGGTGCTCATTTCCCACGGCACTGCTGGCCTGGAGAACTACTCAGATAAGTACTTACCAGTGTGGAGAAGGCGTGAGTTGGCAAGAGCTCCATGACTTTGGCCACCACCTCCAAGCTCTGGCGCAAGTACCGCTGCCACTCCGTCTGCTGCTGCGGGGAGAGGCACCACGGTGAGGACAGCACTGCCAAAGGGAGAGCTCTGGGCACGCTGGGAGGTCCTAATGGATGCTTGGGACTAGAGAGCTCCTGGCCAGAGCCTGGCTTTTGGGGACACCCAGATACTGAAGGGATGATTTGAGACATCTGAGGGAGAATAATTCGCCAAGCTGCCCTTCCAGGGCTCTGGCATCAACCATTTGGCCACTCCACTTCTGCACTGATCAGAGTTAAGATGATCTTTACCAATACCAGCTTAGGAGAACTAAGCTTAAACAAAAGCACCAGCAATATCTACAGGTTCAAGCTTTTGTCTCAGAGATATTTCAACATTTAATTTCCAAAGCAACCAGACGTGGAACCTAATGTCTCTGACAATCAGAACATCAGGATTTGTACTGTACCCCCATCAGAACCAAGTTAAAAACAAAGGTTCTATCTTAGTGTGACTTTAAGCACATTTTTGTCAAAAGCATTTCAAGCTGTTTTATCCCTCAAACCCCACACACTACGGAGAGAAGAAGCAACTGTGTGGCTTTGCACTTCAAAGTACAAGGTCTGGGAAAGACATTCCAGGTGTTAGCGGTGCAAGAGTTAATACATGGACCTGCAGCTTAGTCACTGTTCGACTGTGCTCCTTACATCATCATCTAGTGTCTCGTCATCCAGCTCCTCCAGCTGTGCCTGGTTATACCTGAACTGGATTCGATTCAACACCTCTGTCAGCAACAGAACCAAGGCATCTTCGTACCTACAACCATGGAAGGACAGAGAAAGAGCTGAATAAAACCCCTGCAGCAAAAGAAATGCATGTAACAGAGGACAGTAACACCAAGCAGCTCCTGGGATTAAGGGTGTCAGGTCATTTCAGATCACAAGGGAAAAGCCTTGATAAGATCTGATATCCCTCTGCCTCTGAAAGGGAAAGGAAGGATTCTTAGCAACAGAAGCAGCCCCAGAGCTCAAAACAAGAGAAGTGGGAGCAGCTTGCCAGGAATAACAAGAGATGTCCATGAACAGGAGGAACCAAGAGCCTGTTGTTGCCTGAGCTGCCCCTCGGCAGCCTCTGCTCTCTGGGCACTGAGTGAGGAGCAGATGAACCAGGGCAGTAAAGGCTGTTTGTGCTGCTGTCCCCCTTTCCCTACACTTTTGACAAAGCAATTCAGGCCCTTGTCCTCTGAAACAAAGCCAGCACTTTTCCTACTTTAGCACTGTAACATTAAAGGCACCTCTCAGTGAAACATCCCCTCGTGTCTGGGAGCCAGGAAGCTGCTCCAGAGCACACGAGCCCCTCCTTCTCACGGAAGATAATGCCAAGCTGCAAAATCAGCACAGAGCCACCTAAACATGCAACAACTCCTGGTGCCACAACACCCAAGTTTGGGATTTCAAGGGGGGTCGGTTTGATTTTTGCTTTAAAAAAAACCCTTTTCTCGAAGCAGTTGGGGTCTGATAAAAAAGTCCTACTCTTTTCTAGGGTAAATCAGGTTGGAAAATTAGGCACAGACTAAGAGAGATTCGGAGCATGATGCAACCCAAGTGTCAGTCCTGTCAGCTGTGCCACCAGCCAGGCAGCTGAAAGCTCTGTGCAAGGTGTTGTAAGCCTGGATTTGGCAGCTTCTCCAGGAGTAAAGGCCGTGGCGTGCACGAAATGCAAAGTTTCTAAACCACAGAACAGGAAATTTCATCTGTGCTCTTGTGGTGCAACCACTTCCAGACTGCCCAGCTCAGCCTTCACACGGCTCAGGGCGTGCAAGAGGCTGGAGCTGTCACTGAGGGCAGGCAGCTCTGACAAACAGCACCAGCTCCAACCACTTACAAGGCTTTTTTATTAATTTTGTACTCTCACCTATCCCCTAGAGACGCTATTTGTCACAATTTTGATAGGAGCACTACGTGCATTACACGTGGGTGAAGAGGAGCAGCAAATTAGGAACAAATCACGAAAGCTCCGACACAAACATCTACTTCTCAAGAAATTAACCCCCCCACACTCCCCATGCTGAAAGGAAGCGCTGCCTGGTGTAAGGGAGTTCCACATTTCTCTGTGGTTCTGGTGCCAGGCTCTCCTTCAAAAACCAACTGCTTTTATTTAGTGTGCTCAGCCAAGCTTCCTCCTGCACTCGGTGGAACATAATATGGCATAAGCCACGGTGCTTTTAAACCTCAAAAACCTGAACAAGGCACCAGATTTTTCAAGTGACAGCTAAGAGATCTTTCATCAAAAGAGAGCCCTCCCAAATTTTCAGGATCAGCATCTACAAAGGAAGAGGTGCCAACCACTGTTGTAATTAATACACACAACAAACACTGGGGGTAGCAAGTGGAACTTGCAACTCCCAAACTCATCGGTATTTCACAGGAACACATCCTCTATTTAGACAGGAATTTAAAAATCCTAATTAAATATAAAAAAAATTCTAATTAATTAATTAGCTGTATGAGCTGTGTGAACATTCACAAGTACTCAGTAACTCACTGAACACTCAGTAGGTGACTTACTCTGTGTTCTCCTTCTCTAATGTGTGCTAAAATGTGCTCCGGTTCTATTTTAGACTACAAAGGTTCCTTCCTCTGGCTGCAAGGTTCACACACAGCATACATGAGTGACAGTTTCTCTACCCCAACTTGCTCGGTTTGAATTCTCTGAATGAGTGAGGTTCACACTTTTTATACCTGACCATTTTAGAAACAGAAAGGACTCAACCACAATAGCTTGTTCCTCACAGCCCTTGCATGGTGACCATGAAGTTGCTTTGCTGCTGGATTTTTCTGGGGAAGCAAAAGGGATCCAGAGGAGAGGTTTGGGCACTTGCTGTCATTTCTCACTCCCCCCAGTTCTTCTATCACAGAATCACAGAATGGCTTGAATTGGAAGGGACATTAAAGACCATCTTGTTCTCTGCCCCTGCCATGGGCAGGGACACCTTCCACCAGGAGTTTATATCTCCGAATCCCAATTCTTCAGGCACTGCCTCCTCTGTCCAAACCTCTCGTTTATTTTGTTCTAAACTTTGATAATTACAGCCAGAATTTTAGAATGTATTTATGCAGTTTATTCCCATTAGCTGCCCACATGTCTGGAGCTCAGTGTTTCCTTTCTTGGGATGAACGACTGAGAAAATATTCAGCCAACCCATCCCTGGAATGGCTTCATTTCTCCTCTTCCATTTGGATTTGGGCTTCTGAAACAGAACTCCCAGAACATAGGACATGTGCCATCTTGGCCACAGAGCTGAATGAACATTTCCTGCCACTAATTTTTGACAAATATCACAGATATTTGAAATCCTTCCCTGTGAGGGTGGTCAGGCCCTGGCACAGGTTGCCCAGAGAAGCTGTGGCTGCCCCAGCCCTGGAAGTGTCCAAGGCCAGGTTGGATGGGGCTTGGAGCAACCTGGGCTAGTGGAAGGTGTCCCTGCCCATGGCAGGGGGTGGAATGGGATGAGCTTTAAGGTCTCTTCCAAGCCAAACCATTCCATGATTCCATGCTGTCACATCCCAGCCGTTTCCGAGCTCTCACCTGTTGAGCACTGCGTCTTTGTCTGCCAGGCGACTTTTAATCTTGCTTGTCAAGTAGTCCAAGAAGAGTGTCCAGATGTCCAAGCAAGAAAAGTAACCTTCATGTGTAGGCTGAAAGACACCAAAATTCACAATGAATATCATGAGCTACGGTAGGATTGATTTCATACAATGAAAATAGGAGTTAACAGGTACTTCAATCCATGAGATCTTCTTGCTTTACTGACACGTTTCTAGGATGTCACTGCAGAGATTTAGAGCTGTCAAAAGATAACCAAGAGCTTTTGTACAAGGGTAGGAACCCAAGAGTTACAAGGCTGGGCTCAGAATTAACCCATGTTGTGGTTTGCAGCATCACCTTCTGGCATTTCAGTGCTTCAAGAGAGCTGGAGAGGGACTGGGGACAAGGGATGGGGGGACAGGACAAGGGGGAATGGCTTCCCATTGACACAGGGCAGGGTTAGATGGGATATTGGGAAGGAATTTTTGGCTGTGAGGGTGCTGAGGCCCTAGCAGAGGTTGCCCAGAGAAGCTGTGGCTGCTCCTGGATCCCTGGAAGTGTCCAAGGCCAGGCTGGACAGGGTTTGGAGCAACCTGGGCTAGTGGAAGGTGTCCCTTGGCAGAGGAATGGGACGGGTTGAACTTTAAGGTCCCTTTCAACCCAACCATTCCATGATTCTGTGATTTTATAAAGCTGTTTCCTTGCCATTATTCTTGTGTGTGGGTATATATGGGGCTGAGCTGCACTGTGACAGCTCCTACAGGAAGGTAACGTAGACCAAAAGCCAAAGGGTTTGTTTTTTTAATATTTAAAGTTACAAGAAAGTCACAGATTCAGGACAAAGAACAGCATCCCCAAACACAAACCAAGAAAGTCAGAGAGACTTTTCCAGACAGCACTGTCCATTCCAAGGACTAGAAAAAAATTAGAGCAGAAGCAAAGTTACACATCAGACAAGTTGTTCTTGCAGGGTAACTACATGTGACCTCTGTTTCCAGCTAAATCCAAGAGCACATGAAGCCATTTCCAAGTCCCCAGCACCAGTTCAGTGCCAGTAAGACAAGGAAATTGCTTTTAACTGGGGCAAACAAGCTGGCCCTGCTGAGCAGGACAGTAGAACAGACTGGGAAAAAAATGATGGTGTAGGGCTGTACCTGATGGAAAGTGTATTTGAACAGCAGTGCCAGGAATTCAACCACTGGGAACTGAGAGTAGGATTCAATCCTCCGTAGGTGGACGCTCACAAACAGCCGGAGGAAATCTGTGAACTTCTCAATGTAGCTGCAAAGAGAAGAGAGAACTGAGAAAACAGGGAGGGGGCCACGAGGAAAAGCAATTTCACTGAAACAGCGATAAAAGTCACCCAAAATCCTTTCACTAAGAAGAAAGTTACAATTAACAGCCAGCAGAGCAATTGAAATAGAAAGCCCTGCAACAATTACCTACAGGACGGGCAACCCTTCGTTCCTTTAACACCTGAAACAGCAGAAAAGACAATCCTGTCAAAAGCAACTTAATATTCAGATAAACATCCTCGAGTTCAACCAGGCCTGCAAATAAGCACAATCTCCCCACCCTAGAGAAGCAATTTAATAGCAAAGGTTGTCTTACTGATGGAGACAGGATAAGTGAGATGAACTGTACCCCTGAGGAATCCAGCAGGAAGCTAATGCAGAATCAGCAATACAAGTGTTCCATTTACACGAGGGGGAGAGTTGGGAGCTGGAAAGGACAGTTCCTTCTGCAGTGCAGCTACCCAAAACTTTCTAAGCTGAGGTTTGGGACTGAATTGGGCTATAGGGAAATGTTCCTCCAAAGCATGGAATTACTCAATGGATGGATGAACTGCACGTCCCAAAAGAAACCCGCCCCCAAAACTCCAGGGAGTGCAGCAAGAGCATGACCTCAGTGAAGGCACAGAAGGTTCTGGAGGGGAAAACCAGCAAAGCCCACAATGGGGTGAGCTTTTACTGGGGAGTAGGAACACACCCTGCCCAACATGAGCCTCATCAAGGTTAAAAATCATCTTCATCTATACAGAAAAAGTTTAATATTCCATTGCAGCATCACACACAGAGTGAGATCTCCAGCAACCCAGTGGTAAGTCCACTGACCCCACTGCAAGAGCACTTCAGGTTTTTCTTTTGAACAGAAGTTGGGCTTGGCAGATTTTCAGACATGCACAAACAGCCTGGTTTTACTGTATTGCCTTGCTCTTCCCTTCTGCAAACTCTTTGGTTTGTTTTTTTTTTTTCTGGGGGGGGGAATCCCCTCTTTCTAACAAGAAGTCCCTCAAGAGACAGAGGCATTTCCAGCTAAGGCAGAGCTGCAGCACTGGGGGTTGTTCTAAGCCTACAAAACCACACACTACTTTGAATATGCAAAAAAGTTCCCTTTTTATTTGGCACTGCCTACTTGACAGGAAATCACTGAACATACCTGACCACAGATCAAGCACTTCAAAAGCAAAGTCAGTAAAAAGAAACAGAGTCCAGACCCAAACACATCCTTCATACTTTCATTTTCTAAGCATGCTGTGACCCAAGACCAGTGAAATTCTTCCTTGCTCTGGGCTCTGCCAGCACTAAAGCCCCTTCTCCAACCACCAAGCCATTGCCTGAATCCTTAACAGCCACTTCCCATATTTTGGGATCTTCACAGCCAAACACAAACAAAGCAAAAGGCAGAGTAAACTTACTCATTTCTGGACTAGTTTTGGCAGTTCGAAAGTGCTCAGACCACCCTGATCCTTTAACAGAACAAAAATAACCAGCACCACGAGAGGAAGGGACCCAGGGCCTGCAGGTTCTGAGGACACCCATCTACTGAAGGCGGTCTCTTCGGTGCCAATTTTGTTCAGGATTTTGTTAGTGCAAGCCAAAGTGATATTTTCACGCAGTAAGTTTAGTTTTGGACATTAAAAGTACAGCTATGTCACTTAAGGGACAAAAGGAAAACCCTCACGTCCTTTTGCACAGAGAGGACAAGGAGAAAAGAAAGCTCCGCTCCTCTAGAAGCCAGCTGGATTTTGCCAGCTTCCAGAACATCTTGGTTCCACCCCTATTTCAGACTTTGGCAATGAATAAACAATTACTGACCCCACCAATCCCTGGGGATAACATGACTAAGAAGCAGAACGTGGCAACACCATCTCTGCCAAGGCCAACACAGACACAGAGCTTACACTGAAACTGGCCCCAAAGGTTGCTTGAGATTCCCCATAGAAAAAAGAAACACAGTTAAATATGGGATTGGGGAGTTCCAGGAAAGTTCTTCTGAATTCCAGACAGGAACTCCTGGATTCTGTGCATGTATCTTGTACACAAAAGGTGGTACATTCCTACACATGTCATTTCTAGGAAGTGAGTGACGCTGAAGTCAGAGCAAGTTACTACAAAAATGAGCTAGTTACTACAAAAATGAGCAAGTAGAACTCCCTTTTAATCCAGATTTGCCATCTCAAAGTTATTTGTGTGTCTGAAGATATGGAAAAAGATTTTTAGGGAAGAAACACCCAAGTCCTCTCTGAGTACAGACCCACAGCTTTGTCTAAATGTTTTTTTCCTTGTGTGGAAATTTATTTCCTCCTGCACATACCCACAGTAAGATACTCAGCACATTCACACAGTCACAACCTCTCTGCCAACGTCAGCACCAGCCTTCCCTGGCAGCAGCACCAAATCAGCACCTCTTCCACCACCTTGCCAACACCAGGGCTCAGCCACTCGGCACAACAGTGAGACCAATCTCACCTTCTCTCCCACAAAAAGGAATATTGGATACAAAAGAGTGGAGCTGTTTCAGGGAACAAAAGATGGTAGTAACTCTCTGCAAAATGAGGATATGCAGCCTTTCAAAGAGCTGCTGCTTCCCTGCTGCCTTCAGCCAAGCATGGGGACAAACTCAGTGGTGGAGCTGCTGAACAGAGCTCCCCAAGCTGTATATTGGTTTAAAAGAAGTATAAAAATAAAAAGAATCAAAAATGGCCATGGCTCAGTGAAGGACAGGAAATTACTACTATTTTCTTTCAAGCCATGACTGGCAGAATATATCCCCACTGTGTGCTTGAGTTTGGGCAGAGAAGGAAGGCAGACACGGACCAGCAGAGGGGACGCTGCAGTGCCTTTACCTCACTGAGCCTCTTCTGAGATGTTACAAAAGGTTCAGCTCTGGTGCCACCTCAGACCTGCAGTCAAACAGCAACGAACAGGGGGGCAGGGGAGGAAGAAGACAGGACAGAACACAAAGCTGTGCCACCACAATCCCTCAGCCAACTCAGCCCCTCATCAAACCTTACCTGCGGGCACCCACCTCTCTGCCTGGCTCCCCTAGCCCAGTGCCCTGAAAAAAAGGCCATCAGACACACCGTGCACGACCACAAAATAATCCTTCAGAAAGCAGGAGGCCCTGGCACTGAGCTGCCTGGCTGCCCTCACCTCTCATCCAGCTCCTCCAGCCGGCTCTTCACCGTGTGCGCGTTGTTCTCCTTGGTGATCTTCTGCAGGAGGTAGAAAGTCTGCTGGAACATCCGCAGCAAATACTCCTCGAACTCCATAGGCACGCAGTTCTTGGACATGAGTTCGTTGATGCAGGACATGGCCAGGACCCCGAGCCGGCCCCGCTCCTGCCCCAGCACCGAGTTGTGGCTGCTGCCGTTGACCGACGGCATCTTCCGCGCGCGCGTGTCGCAGCCGAACCGGGCGAAGTGGAAGATGGTGGTGAGGAGGGAGGGGGTGATGCTCGTGGACAGAGGGATCCAGCTGAAGAGGTGTGCCAGGCACTCCAGTGCCAGGGAACAGATGTATTCACTGTCTGTGTCAAGGATGGGGATTGGCTGGTTCAGGAGTTTGGCCGCGCTGGGACTCTGTAACAGGCTACTCAACAGGTCACCTGGGGGAGAGACACAGGGAAATCAGGGCATGGCCACTCACACTGCCACTCCCAGCTGTCACAGCCAACCAGGGAACAAACTCTCCAATCACTTTGCTGGGTTACAAAGCCACCATTACTTTACTCAGTGCTGGGAGCACGGGGATAGCTCCACAAACTTGCATGGTCAGCAACCAAACAGAGCAGATTATAGTGAGGAAATCTATACATGTTACACTTCTCTTACATATTCATCCTATTCCTGATTACGTCCATATATGCTAATTATCCCTGTGGACTTACTTGGGTATGAGTAAGGGTCTTTTGAGGGTCTTTGGGGGTCATTTAGGAACATCCCATTCACCAGATTTCCCTTTTATGGTTACGGATCTTCTAAAGAAGATCCTTGAGAGTATCTCAAGTACGAGGTCAGGTCATGATGTACTTCTCTTATCATTCTTTGCTCTGGCACACAATCCTCGTTCTCCAAACTGAGACATCTGCTAGTACATATTAATCACTGATTTAGGGATCAAACACTATTGTGCTGAAGTTAAAAGAATTTTCCAACATCTTCCCCCCCTGCTGCACAGACTACTTTTTAAAGAAACATAACTTGTTTGGGAACACAGCTGAAAAGCAAAACCCATCAGAGCATCTGCTTGTCCTGTGCAGGGCCAGGAGCTGGACTCTGATGATCCTTGTGGATCCCTTCCAACTCAGAACATTCCATGAGTCAGCAAGTCCCAAAGACTTGCTCTGAGATGAACTGGTGATTTCTGTACTCAGGAATTACTTTACACAACCCCTCTGGCCTCACTGGTAAGGACACTCACACAGTATTTTGGAAAATAGCAATGGCATGGGGTGTATTTTAAACACTTATTATAAAATTCTCCCCCCCTCACAAGGTTGAGCATCCCTGGTGTAAGCTTGGCACAAGTTCTCTGGCACATCCACGTGTGAACCTTGGCAGAGGGGTTCCTGCCTCCCTCTGACACTTGTGGGTGATGTAAAGGCAGATGTTCTGGTGTCAGACCAGAAAGCACCTTGTCCCAGTGACCAAAACCCCGAGTGTGCACAGATCACACTCCCCAGCCTCCAACCACCCTGTGACAAAGGCTTCCCAACAAGAGAAAATTGGGAAAAATCCTACACAGCCTCAGGATTTATCTTCCATGACTTCCTCCACTCTCCAACTGGAGCCACATAAATTGAATATTTGCATTATCCTGTGACAGGTCCACAGCTTCACTACAAAGCTGGTTTGTTTGGGGTATGTCAGTGCTAGTTTCATTTTCGACCTCCTGTACCCAAACAGGGAACAGAAATAACCTCTGTACTCATCTTCTACGTGTCCCTCTGCGGGTTCCTACTGCAGTTCCTCACTCTCAACTGGACAGGATGAAGGTTCTACTTCTGCTGTTACTTCCAGGGCAGCCACTCAACCCCCTCAGTCGTCTTTACTGCCCTTCTACTGAAGCTTTCCTTGCCATCTGCACCTACTGACACAGGAAGAGCAGAACTGCAGCCAGTACTCGAGGTGCAGCCTTAATTCCACAGAGAACCACAGCAGGTACCTATTTTTGGCTGCTACTGATGTGAATTTTCTGTAGAATGATCTGGTGTGATGCTCAGGAGCTAAACCTGCCTGCTCCAGGGTGAACTCCCCCCTCACAGCAAGAGGGCACCATTTCCACTCACCTTTCATCTCCCTCCTCTAACCAGCAATTCATCAGCAATCCAGAGACTCCCTTCTCCCTGATGGCCTTTGCTTTCTCAAAAGCTTTTTAATGAGAATCCTTGTTGAAAATTTTATGGAATCCAAGGGACACCACCAGCCAGGCTGCCCATAATCTCCAAGCTTCCACCTGCTGCAAACTCCCCTTCCCTCAGGCTGTTCAACACAGTTCTCTTCCTTAACTACAATCTCTTTAAAAACCTGGCACTTGATACGCTATAGAACTTGAAGGTCTCAGAAAATCTGAGTGATTCTTTCATGAAAGTGAAACAACCCAACAAAGAGAAGTACAAGAATAACAGGTATGACTTACTGAGCTGTTTCCAAAGTAGCCAAGAGCTTGAATGATGAACAGACCCCTCCTAAGCCTCCATTTCTCATCCAGAATGATGTCGTACAGCAATAAATTCATAACTCCCTGCCATACCTTACCTTCACTTCCTTCTCTAGAAACTGAAGTCATCACGTGGCTTCAGCTGAATGAGACAACCCTGCACTTTAATCTTTCCACTGAAGCAGCCCCACGGTGACATTCACAGCCCTGCAGATGCTGCAGGGCAGGAGTTGCTCACACTGGGCTTTTACAGACCTCGTGGAGTTCAACGAGGCCAAGCACAGGTGCTGCACGTGGGCCAGGGCAATGACAAACACAAATCCAGGCTGAGAGGGAAGAATGGATGGGGAGCAGCCCTGGGAGGAGGATCTGGGGGTGTTGGTGGGTGAGGGGCTGGACATGCCCTGGGCTGATCCCACAGTGTGGGCAGCAGGGGAGGGGGAGATTCTTGCCCCTCTGCCCCCTCAGGTGAGACCCCCCTGCAGAGCTGCCTCCAGACATGGGGAACCAACAGCACAAGGACGTGGAGCTGCTGGAGAGACTCCAGAGGAGCCCACAGGGATGCTCCAAGGCTGGAGCCCCTCTGCTCTGGAGCCAGGCTGGGAGAGCTGGGGGGGTTCCCCTGGAGAAGAGAAGGCTCCAGGGAGACCTCAGAGCCCCTTGCAGGGCCTAAAGGGGCTCCAGGAGAGCTGGAGAGGGACTGGGGACAAGGGATGGAGGGACAGGACACAGAGAATGGCTTCCCACTGCCAGAGGGCAGGGTTAGATGGGATATTGGGAAGAAATTTTTCCCTGTGAGGGTGTCAGGCCCTGGCACAGGTTGCCCAGAGAAGCTGTGGCTGCCCCTGGATCCCTGGAAGTGTCCAAGGCCAGGTTGGACGGGGCTTGGAGCAACCTGGGCAGGTGGAAGGTGTCCCTGCCCATGGCAGGGAGTGGAACAAGATGAGCTTTAAGGTCCCTTCCAACCCAAAGCAGTCTGGGACTCGGTGATTGTTTTAAATGTCAAGCAAACTCCACATAAATCATTGAGAATTAAAGATTCTCACCTTTTGATCCATTAACACCAGCAAAAAATTTGGTCCTTGTAACTCCCATCTTTGCACCCAGCTAAATTCCTGAAGCTCTGAGTTTAAAGTGTCTTTGCAAACAGGTGACAAATTTACAGGATCAGCTGCATTCGGGCTCAAGGAGAAAACTCTCAGGGCCTGGCTCTGCAGCACCAAACATTTCTGTTACTCATTTGTTTGCCACACGTCAGTAAATGTGCCTAAGGAAGGGATTCATCACGAAATGTGCTATAAATCATGCAAAGACAACATGTGGAAGCTGAGATTATTGCTGAGTAAATGCTACAGTGATGCAATAGCTCAGATGTTTTCCAGCATGGGTCATTATCAGAGTTCCTTTGCTTAAGTGATATGAGGAATGAGTCTGTCTTCGAGTGCTATTTAAAACCTGGGCAAGACTTGCAAGGGACCATTTCACTCTGCTTCCCTGGGCAAAAAAAAAAAAAGCAAGGAAAGGTTTTCCAAGACCCTAAAGAGATTTGGGCTCTGATGGAAGATATTAAACATTGGTAGGGACCCTGGAGCTTATTTTGCCTCTTGGAACACCTCTAATTTCACCTGAATGTACAGAGAAAAGGGTGGTGGCCTCATCCAAGCAGTGAAAAAGTTCAAGATCACCAGTAAACAGGAGTATTTTGCTGCAAGAATGGAGTCCTTCAGGGAACACAGAAAGTGGGCAAGTAGTGGCTGAGAGGGAAGCACCTGGTACTCCTTTCTGAAGTAGTGGAATCATCATCCCTGGAAGTGTTCCAAAGCCAAGTGGATGTGGCACTTGGGGACATGGTCTGTGGTGGCCTTGGCAGCGCTGGGTTAAAGACTCAGTCTTAGGGGTCTGTTCCAATTTTAATGATTCCATGATTCTGTGACTTTAAGAACTTGAAGGACCAACAGTTTTAGCATGGAGAGAGTGCTTAGCACACAGCATGGAAAAATAAACCAGAAAGTTTCAAAGGAACGAGTTCGCACAGGCAGGACCCAGTGAAATGAAACCTGAACCTCTAAAGGAACTGGCAGTGTGGTCCTGATTCTGAGCAATTATCTTGAAAACGCTCTGAGTAAAAAAGTTTATTTGTTTTCCCTGAAAGGGGAGAAAGGAAAGGCCCAGGGCAGAAATGCAGCCTGGTTTCAGTTTGAGAAACACGATCCCAAGTCACGAGGTGAACACACAGGTGGATAAAAGCTGCCTCAGCACAAGCCCCAAGGGACTGAGGGACATCCCAAACAGGCTTCCACGACAAGCAGCCCAGACTTTGTTCCACTTGTGTCCTCTCCCAGCACCACTTGCACCGTTGCCAAGTGATACTGGAAGCTTTGATCTTTTCTGTTAATATTTCTTGTTCAAACTCTTCCTACCTACAGCAAAATCCACTCCCTTCCCAACCAGGAGAAATATTTATTCCCATTACAGTTTATGTTTTGTATATAAACATAAAAGTGACTTAAGCTCTTCTACAGGAAAGAAGCACTTGAAATTTTGGCCAGTGTGAAAGTTTGAATACCAACCAAAATTTTAACAGCAACTGTCTAAATCTGGCTGGTGCAATCTGACCACAGGGAAGTGATCTGCAACTCCTCATTCACTGTTTAAGGTCTCAAACACAAGTGAAATGTGTGCCAAATACAAGGACACAAACATATGTTCTCCACTCTGAATCTAACTAAGAAACAGATATGTAAATGGGTTTAGATCAGATAAACACCCACACAAAAGTCTGACAGGAATAGGTGGAAAACAAACCTGCACAATAACTTGCTCTCTCCAACTCCCTGTTGGGAGGGGGGAGCCAGGTGGGGGTCGGGCTCTGCTCCCAGGGAACAAGGACAGGATGAGAGGAAACAGCCTCAAGTTGTGCCAGGGGAGGTTTAAATTGGGTATTGGGAAAATACTTTCTTTTCTGAAAGGGTGGTCAGGCAAAGGCTTGCCCAGGACTGTGGTGATGTCACCATCCCTGGAGGTTTGTGGATGTGGCACTTGGGGACATGCTAGTGGTGGCCTTGATGATCTGAGAGGGCTTTTCCAACATTAATGCTTTCACAATTCCAACTCACTGATATTGGAGCATTTCAGAAAGCTTTCTGCCCTCTGAGGACAACAAGCAGCTCTGTGTGCCCTGTTCTCTGAGGTGACATCTGCTGCACTGGAAACTGCTTCTTCAGGTAAGGGGTTTTTTCTTTCCCACCAGGAATTTGGTGGCCTATGAGAAGCTCTAGGAAAGGGCTATTACAAGACGTTAGACAGTAAAGGAAGGAATCTGTGTGTGATATTGCAGGTTTGAGTACATGGAAACACCACCTTGGAGCTCAGTTTTCCTTACCACTTTCTCCTGAAGTCGGGGATGGTGGTGGAGTGGCAGCAGTGGCACTGTGCTTGTCCCAGATGCTCTCCAAAATACCTGGCCAAAGAGAGAATTTTTTTTTTCAGAACAGGCTGCTAAAGACAAACTGATCTAACAACCACAGCACAGAGGGCAAGAGAACTTCAGCAGAACACACCTTTAGTGCTGTGAGAAGTGTAAAAACACTCAGTAATTTCTCTGGGCTCACTAAGAGAGGACAAGCTCCATCCCTCTTCACAGACAGGACATATGGAGCTCTGACCTGCTCTGCTACACACGCTGGCTCACATTAGGCTGCCCCAAGTGCCTCAAGGGCAGAGTTGAGCATTCAAACTGCAGGAGCAGCCCACATGTTGCTTCCCACTGCTCCCCAGGAGTGCCAGCTCAGCAGCACCTTTGGGCTGGCCAGGCTGGGGCAGGAACTCGTACCTGTGAGGAGCCCGAGCACCGTCTGCACCTGGTCCAGGAGCAGCTTGCGCAGCTCCTCCTTCCGCGCCACGCTGAGATCCTCCCGCGGGCAGGCCAGCTCCTCCGACGTGGTTTTCAGCATGATCAGCCCCAGGGGGGTGGTCACAGGAGACTGGATTAACTGAGGGACACAGAGTGCAACGTGTGATGACAACACCCCGCTGACAGAGGCTCCACTCGCGGTTTACACGCGCGTCGAGACCAGGGGCGTGTCGGCCCCTACGGTTTGCAGAGTTGCACGTTGAGGGGGGAGAACTGCAAATACTCCATCTCCCCAGACAGTAATCTGTGATGTTGCAACAGTTCAAGCCCCGTGGGAATCCTTGGGGTTTCAAGAGAGCTTTCACAACGCCATTGCACACATTCTGTGTCCCGGAGTTTTTACCAGCAACAGTTTGTTCCTTCTGCTGACATCATCACTTCTCAGAATCACCTCAGCACCAGCAGTGCCACCACAGAGCAGGGCTGTCACTGCAGCTCAGGAGCCTGCACCATCAGCCAACAGCTCCCCGCTACAAACACCAGCCCTCCCCACACACCCCAAAAGCTGCAGCCAGGATCAGAAGCCACCAGAACACAGCAGGGGGATCCAACCTCTCCTTGCACCTGAACTGCACCTCAAACTGGGAAATGTATTCACTCTACAAAGAGTAACTTCCACCACATGCTGGAACTGGACTGGGAAAAAGGATGACTTTTTCCTTCATTAGGTACTGATGAAAGACTCAACCAAATGGGGCCAAGTTTTATTTCCAGCTGAAGGACAGCTCTGCTCTTCACTGCTAACCTGAAACATGCAAAGTGATTTATGCACCACTCCCCCCGGGAGGCAAAACCCCAAAGCCAATCACAGTTACTGCAACTAATCCTTAACTCATAATTCTGTCATACAGGCTGACTTTGGTGCCAACCTCCCTGACCCACCAAAGCAGAGCCAGGCTGAGCCAACACTGCTAAGGAGACACAGTTTGGTGAAATATCTGGGGAGGAAAGAGCTCATCTAAAAGCATCATCCAGACATACCTGAGCTTGGCTTTTGCCAAGGAAGGCCCATGGCACAGGAGCAGCCAGGTAAAGAACTAAATCAATCACACAACTTGTTGGTCAGTTGTGGATAGGCTAAACATCATCTCTCTGAATAGTTTCTGACAAATCCCGTAAGTTTTAGCCTGTTCCACTAGGCCCTGGCACTGTTTAAAATAAATTTTAAACCCCTAAGGAAGTAGCATTTTCTATGTAGAACGACTGGATTTCCATAATGACAACAGAATAGTCCAATTTATTTTTCTTCTCCACCCCTGCAACAGTTCAGTAAAAGGTTTAGAGACTACTCAGAGTATTGAGATACAATTTAATGCTAAATAACCAAACAGTTGCTTCAAATGATCTCAGGAAAAAAGTCTTGAGACAGGACTCATCTGCAATTCTAAAAGCAAGTCATGCTGCTCCTGTGCTCCTCTTCATTGTTTTCAGGTCTTGGAATTCACTATTAGTGCTTTCCTTCCACTTTCTCTCAACATTTTTGGAATGTGTCTGCTACAGAAATTAATTTATGAGAACATCTCTCTCCACAGTTGAGCTCACAAGGAGAGGCTTAGGGATAAACATTCCCAAAATGCAATCCCTTAAGGTAACCCCTGGAGTGCCAGAAAGGCCAGTGGGACTCAGGAAGCAATTCAGATCCAGCTGAAATGACAGCCAAGACAGCAAGTGCAGACAGTCATCCTAAAATATTTAGCGTCAAATCGACAATTCAGGCAAAAACTGCAGCGTGTTACACCACAGGAAGTGGTCTGGGAAGTGATTACACCAGTTAGTAACAAGTTCTGCAGACAAGTTAGTTTGCTTGTTTTTTTAACTTTGCAACTAATGCTAAAGCCATTTGCCTTAACAAATAAATTCCTGGCACTCAAGGACCTGGATTTAAATCACTGCCTCGTGGCTTGGCTGTGGGCTTTGCTGCTTTCAAATCATGTCATTATGTCAGCAGAAAAAAAAACCAAACAAACGTGAAGCACTTCAGTTTACACTCAGCCTTTTTAAGCTCATTAGGAAGAACTTGAAGGAACCTGGAGACAAAATACTCAAATCTAAAGAGGTTTACACCAGCCTGGTCAGGCTCCAGCAGCAGTGAGCTCTTAACCTGGCTCAGGATTCCCTGGGAAGGTGCTGAATTACAACCAAAATTCCAATTAACAGCACTGTCTCAGTCAGGATCCTCTGATTCATACTCGAATCTTCCTGCAAGAACCTTCTTAAACACACCACCAACATTCCCTTAGTGACTTCACAAAATGAGGTACCAAAGATTTTAGGGTATCTTTGACTGTTGGGTGAGAAATCTCCAACAGCCACAATAAGAAACTGCACCTTTGAAAATCACCCAGTGACACATCCATAGCTTTACTGACTTTTTTTCTTTAAAGAACAACTCCCAACTCCTGTATTTTCAAGAACTTTCCCATAATATCTGAAATTCAAAGAGCAGTTTCTACTCATTCCACTCACATAAGTATAAACCGCAGGAATTTAAAGGTTACCCCAAAATTAAAAAGAGAAAGGAATTTAAAAAGCAACTTCGCTTATTGTGCAGTTATTTAATCTTCCTCAAGGAAAGTCACCACTCGAGGAACCAAACTGATGTTGGTTTGGTTGGTGGAGGGACTTCTTACCTGCAGGATGTTGGTGAAGAAATCGTGGTAGAACATGGGCCAGTCCTGGCGGCCGATGTCCACGATGACTTTGCAGAGCTTGTTGCGGATGAAGTAAGGCAGGGTTTTGTGGTGGGCCAGCAGGAGCTTGGGCAGGCAGCTGCGGATCTCCATTTTGTCCTGAGATGGGACCCCCAGCCACATCTTGTTGATCAGGTTCTGGAAAAGAAAAGACCCCCCCAGATGAGCTCACCTTAGACGTGCTTTACTGAGCTCAAACAGTGAGAGAACACAGACACACAGAACCATGGAATGCTTTGGATGGGAAAGGACCTTAAAGGTCATCTCAGTCCACTCCCTGCCATGGGCAGGGACACCTTCCACCAGCCCAGGTTGCTCCAAGCCCCGTCCAACCTGGCCTTGGACACTTCCAGGGATCCAGGGGCAGCCACAGCTTCTCTGGGCAACCTGTGCCAGGGCCTGACACCCTCACAAGAGAGAATTCCTTCCCTCCTGGAGCCCCTTTAGGCCCTGGAAGGGGCTCTAAAGTCTCCCCAGAGCCTCCTCTTCTCCTGAGGCTGAACAACATCCTGCAGGGACAGAGCACTAGCATGTCATCAATTTAACTAGTTATTGGTCACTAGCACGTCATCATTTTAACTGGCTTTTGGTCAAGCAAAACTAACTTAGTTTTATAGTCATATAACTATTTCCACTATCTTTTAAGCCTGGACATCCAGATTTTCCCCTTTAAAGGGGAAAGTACAGCCTCATATGAAGCAGGAAAAGAAAAAGAGCGAAGCAAGTTCACTTTTAGATGACTGATGTCACCTGGGTCTCCTGAGGTTGAGCTGGAAGGTCACTGAAGTGACTGCCTGGCAGTGACAAGGGCACCACTTGAACAAAAAGCTTTTAGTCCACTTAAAGCCAGAAAAGTTCCAAAGGAAGGCACAGTTGCAGATTGCTTCCCTGCCACGCTACGGTCCCATTTAGGGGCTCTGGAGCATTAGGAGCTGAGCCTCTTGGAATAACCTACAGAGAAGGCTTTTACTGAGGCAGATCCACGGTAGGGACGTTCTGTACAAAGGCACCACTTCACAGCAGAGAGGAACACAAGGATATTTATACATAAAGTCCTCAAAGGAGTTGTTTTGGGGGTTTTCTAGAGGAGAAGGTCCAAAAGGATTGCTTAAGAATGACCCAAGCAATTGAGGGTTCCTCACTGCAAGTCCAGCAGTAGTTTCAGAAGCCCCAATAAAACTGGATGTTGCCTTAGTGTAATATCTTTCAATGATCACTGTGTTTTGTCCTACTCCTTTAACCTGACAGTGGCAGTTTTCTCCACCTACAAATGTTTCGGGGAAGATGTTTTCTTTTCCAAAAGCAGGGGAGGGGGTGAAAATTGTTTATCTGGAAGGGGCCCAGGAGGAGTTTTATTCCAGATCCACCGTTAACTTCCTAGACAGACTAGAAAATACAACACCCTTTGACTGATTCAGCACTCCTGGACAGCTGGAGATGGATGAGGCTGCAGACTATGACTGACCATGGCTCTGAGGATCAGTTCAACGTGCAGCACTACAGCGCTAAACTTTGGAAATTCAAGCTCCTCCAGGGAGAGATCCTAATCCCTCAGCTGGGCTGTGGATTTCTGTCCCTCACTTTATACCTGGACAGTGATTTCTTTATTCTGGGTACACTTAGTTTTTTCAGTACCACTTTCTTCTCCCCCTTCCAGGGAAGCAGAGGCTCAGTAAACAAAATTCAACGATGAAGTTGAAGGGACATCCACGCAGGATGGTCAGAGGGATCATTGGAGTCCAACTCCCAGCCCTGCACTTGCTTCCCTCTTCATGAAAATCAGTTTATTTTTGCAGGTTGCTGCTGTGGGACACCCATCCCAGAGCAGGGAACAATTCCCATGCCATTTGTCTCCATCACCCCTTTCTGAGGGGGAGGCAAATCAGATTCATTTTGCAGATCGAGTCCAGCCTCTCTATGCAATCCCTAATAAATAAAGCGAATGTTTCAGTGAAGAAGTCAACAACAACATGGATAATTTGTCAAGCCAACACAACTTTAAGAGCAGAGCTGTTTGTTTTACCTAAAAAGTGGCTCACCACAAGGGCTGTAAGCTCTGATTCAGGAGCTCAGCTTGGAGTGCCCACCCAGCAGGAACACAACAGAGGCCACAAACAGTGCAGGGTGAGGTGTGACAAGGAGCAGATCAGTTGATACAACAGAGCTCTTCACGGAATATTTTTGTTTCTTCCAGTAGACACAGAGATCAATATTGAGGCTTTTAACCCTTATTTTGTTCTTTTTATAAATAGGTGAAGGGTGGGACGTGGTCACCTAAGAGAGACCTCATCTCTACAACCAGCATGAGTTTGCAGGATGTAGTTTGAGGCCATCAACCACAACAATGAAATGTCAGAAAAATAAAAGCAACTTTTTCTTCCCTCTCAGCATTAAAGTCTGCAGGAGCTAGAGGCAGGTAATCACACATGTATTTCTGATCATAAAAAGGGTATAAAAACAATAACAACCTTAAAAGCATCGTGCAGAAACTCAAGCAGCCTCTGAAACTGGAGGTAATTTGTATTCAGAGATGCCAGGAAATGAATTCTTCCATTTGTGTACAAAGATTCATCTTCCCCTACTGTCAGCCTGCCATTAAGCAACCTCTCTAGCAGAGAGCAATAATAGCATCCTTTATCTCTGTACTTACCAGGCGTGCTATTCCAGACAAATATTTCCCCCCCCCCCAAAAAAAAAAAAATCGATTGCCAGCTAAAACTGCACCAGGCAGAAGATGCACTGGGCAGGCAAGAGCTCAGACCTCACCTCAAACACAGTCAGACTGTACATCATCACATAGTCATTCCTCGTGCTGGACAGGAAGTACAGGCAGAATCTCCAGGCCCCAATCTGCTGGGCAAAGTTATTTAAAAGCTCCTCTGCAAATAAAAACAAAGTATTATTTTAAAATGTACTTTAGTTTCAATTTTACTTCGGTGTAAAACATTACACTAAAATTCCTAAGCTGTAAACAAATCCCTAACAGTGTGCAGTGATAGCACAGTAACACACTGAGCATGGGAGAGACTCCACGCTCAGGGAATGGTTCAAACAACCTGGAGGAGGACAAAAAAAATATAATAAAATCACACTCTAAGGTATTAAAAGCAATCTAACAGGAGACTTTAATGAAAACAAAACAGATGTGTCATTTTAGAAGCTGTTTTGACATAACTACTACAGCAGATTAAGAGCTGAATATCAAAAAAAATCACACAATAATTGTATTATGAGCATTATTTTATCTATAAAAGCCAAAAGTTGTGATTTCAGGGCACTGTGAAAGAGCAGGAACACGTTAGGTCATACACAGTGTTCTAAAACCACCTCCTCTAAATGCAATTGCTTCAAGAGCTTTGTCGTGGGTCTGCGTTTCAAGAACCTCTTTTGAACACTCAGGTAAGGATTTGGTCACTCACAGCCGGTGACAATGCGCCAAAAAGAAAAGCCACAAGGGCTGTTTTACAAGCTAAGCAAATTTAAAGCTTAACCAATTTGTTTCTTTCCTGCAATTGAAGCAGGATAATGGGGGGGTACAGTTTTTCCACAAAAGATCTCCACCACAGGGAACAAACACAACAAAACAAAAACCTTGCCCAGCTGTTTATTTTTTACAGGATTTCTGGGACAACGATTTCTGGGACAAGGATTTCATGCTGATCATACTTTTGGCACTGAAGCCAAACAGCAGAAACAAAACAATCCCAGAATGGCTTGGGTTGGAAGGACCTTAAAGTTTATCTTGTTCCACCCCCTGCCATGGGCAGGGACACCTTCCACTACCCAGGTTGCTCCAAGCCCCGTCCAACCTGGCCTTGGACACTTCTGGGCAACCTGTGCCAAGGCCTGACACCCTCACAGGGAAAAATTCCTTCCCAGTATCCCATCTAACCCTGCCCTCTGGCAGTGGGAAGCCATTCCCCCTTGCCCTGTCCCTCCATCCCTTGTCCCCAGTCCCTCTCCAGCTCTCCTGGAGCCCCTTTAGGCCCTGCAAGGGGCTCTCAGGTCTCCCTGGAGCCTTCTCTTCTCCAGGTGAACCCCCCCAGCTCTCCCAGCCTGGCTCCAGAGCAGAGGGGCTCCAGCCCTGGGAACATCTCCATGGCTGCTTGAGAATAAAAGGAACGTGTCTCTTTACAGCCACCAACCACCGACACCCAGAGCACCTGCAGGATCTCTGCTGCCTTTCAGGACATATTTAATAACACCAGCCAAAGTGAAACCTCGCTGTTTATTCCTGCTTGGCACTTCCCATTAACTGGGACAGCCTTCTGCTTTGCATTCCTAATGCTCCATCTCTCTGCAGTGGTTTTCCAGGACACAGAATCCAGCAACGTACAGGCAGAGGAAAACGTCACTGATATATCATTCACAGGACCTGCCATAGGTCCTCTGACACCCAAGCTGGATAAACCTTGCCTTCGAAGTCCTGCATAAGCAGGAGAGGGTTCAGCATCAGACACAGAACACCGAGGGGAGCAGTCAAAGCAGCAGTGAGAACTCACCTATCTCGCGTTTGCGCTCGTTTGTGGTGCAGTTGTGGAAGAACTCGGTCATCAGGCTCTCCAAAGCCCGCAGAGAGGCCTCTTCCGATGCCTGCAACGACATTTGAAGGGAAGAGCTTAACTCCCACTCTGCCCTGCACTCAGGAGATGGGCATTAGGGGGTCACAGCTGCACCCAAAAACCAAATATCCTGGAATTCAAACTGCTCGTTGGTGCCAAGTAGCAACAAGATTTGTCCACTGCAAGTGAAAGCTTTGGAAGTGAAGGACCATTTGCTCAGCTCCACTAATCAACAGCAACAATCCGGTTATTTTGGTGGCATTTGGTAATTTTAAGTTAGTTAAGTAATTCTCCCTAAGACAGCCAGCTCAAATAAAGATGCTTTCAGATGTTTAAATAATAAGTATCACAATATGACAGGAAGCACGAACTTTGAGAGGACTTTTGTTGCAGCTCAGGAGGAGTTTCTTCACGGAAAGGGTTGTCAGGCAGTGGATTGGGCTGGAGTGCCCATTCCTGGAGGTGTCCAAGGAACAACTGGAGGCAGCACTCGGTGCTCTGGGCTGGGTGACAACGTGGGGACAGGGCACAGGTTGGACTCGATTTTGGAGGTCTTTTCCAACCTCAACAGTTCTGTGATTCTGTGGCCCCTGACACCTATTCCTGTCTCTGCCTTGGTGCCATCCCACTGCTCAGGAAGCTTGAAAGATTAAGGAATTTCCCCCACTTGGAAAAGCAAGATACAAGTACTCAGAAATCGGATACAAGAAGAACATCCCCCCCATCCTCCAATGTAGCTTTTATTATAGGAAATCATCAGTTATAGCTCAGTGTTTTTAAGTTCTAAATAAAATTATCAGGATTAGCATGCAACCATTGCAGGGTCACTATAATTCTGGAGCTCTCTGGAGTTGGGATGGTTTTATTCTGGCAGGGTAAGAGCCTTAGAAACAGTCCTGCTACAGTACAGACCACACCATTAGCTGTGTGCCTCTCATGTTTGCAACTCCTTCTATCGCTAATAAACATCAAGATTCAAGCCCCAATCATCCTCTGCACAGGAACAAAGTCAACTGTTAAAGAAAACCGAAAGTTCTGCCTCAAAAAACACCAAAACAGAAACAAAACCCATTCCTGCCAGCCCTCGGCACAGATGAGCACGTGGGGCAACCCGAGGAACACTCCAGGCTGCTGCCAGTTCCCATTTCCACACAGAGCAGTTTTCCCAAGGGCCAAGCAGCAGGAGACCCTCCCCACTAGATTTAACCCCAGGAAAACCAACTCAAGAGCAAGAGCTCTCCAAGAGAGAGGTGGCAAATGCCCCAAGAGAAGTTCCCAAACCTTGGGTAGATCCATTTGATGCAAATTCCCCCTGTTCTCGCACTCCGCTTTCCACCAGAAAAGATCAAGATCACCTCAATTCACACAGAACTCTTAGTTCTTCACAGGATGGCAGAGCTCCATCGTCTCTGGAGAGTTAACTGAGTCCTTCAGGAACAGTAGGTAAGTCGATTTTTTTCCCAAGATTCAAGATTTATTTCCTACTTTTGGAAATAAATCACGGAGCTCTCATAAATCTTGAGCATCTGCCACGTCCTCTGCTGGCTTCAGCACTGAGATTTGGAAGATGACAGAGCCTCCTCCTAGGAACACACTTAATCTTCCCCAGCAGAACACCATCCTCATGCTGTTCAACATGTCAACAGCAGAAAAACATAAACCAGGGAGCACGACACAAACATTTCACGCAAAAAGCCCAGGCTGTCCAGCAGCCAAGGCCAACTTGGGCACAAAGAAACAGCATGACCTCCAAGATTGTTTTCTTCTCTTGTTTGACTTCTCCCAGCTGTCCCAGAGGCCCAAGGTGAAGAAGGAAAAATTGTCTGAAGTAATCAAAACCCAGCCCAGGATTGGCTCCGCAAGCAGGAGCCTCCCAGGTCTGCCCTACCTGTGGGCACAGCCTGTGCATCCCCTTCCAGCCACGGGCTGGGTTAGAAAGGATCTGTGTTTGCTGCAGCCTTTGGGGATTCCTCAAGTTCATCAGATCCTGGAGCACGTGGTCATCACCCACCTCCCCAGCCAAGGCCCTGATAACGAGGCCGCTGAGATAACGAGCTGCAGGGGAAGATCTCTGCACCCAGACACCCCAGAGAGCAGACTGGTGAGACTCCAACCAAAGCAGAGCTGCTGGAGGACCTGTTGGAATATTTTCTCAGTTCCTGCTCATGTTATCGTGAGTTTGCCTTCTTCTAAGGCTCTGTGTTTGCTCTGCACTGAGGAAAGGGGCAGGGAAGTATCAGCACTGCCATGAGGAGAATGCCATGAATCCTGGCACGGAGCAGCACAGACACTGAGGATTGCTTCAGGACAAGATCCCACCCCACGGGCAGCCAGAACCAGCGTGGCACAATTCAGATTCTGGTCTGAAAATCAGGCACTTGGGACACACACAAATTCCAGTTTTAAAGGTTTCCAAGGAAAGTCGGGACCGTCAGCAGCAGAATTTACTCCAGACACTCTGGGTAATGGCTGTTTGCCTCACCTTCACAAGGATCACTGAATATTTAACTATTAAAACAGAAATACTTTTGCCTTCACAAAGTGTAAAATCTGACTCCTCTTACCCCTAGTGCCTGCCAGGGCTGGAACAAACCCTCAGGAAATACTATTTCTCTCTTCTGCCAACCACTTGAGGAAAATGCACTCAGTTCTATGGTTTGTGTTTGCAGGGCAAGAAACGTGAGCTTCTGACCAGGAGAGCTTTGCAGTTCACTAAAAGCATTGAGATAAGATGTAAGACCTCACCATCCACACCAGCTCCACTGCCTGAACACTATGGCTGAGTTCTGCCCCACCAAGGGAGGATCCTGGATGCCAAATTCAGCAGATCCTCTGGCAGAGGTGATGTCCTCATCACGGTTCCCTCAGTGAGAGCAAACAGGGCTAAATGTCAACACACCCACGGCTACTGTCCACGTTCCAAGAGGATATCCACACTCTGACCCGGCAACTGGGTCAAAACAACATCTCAGAGGTGTGTCACAGCTGATTATCCCCAGAATGGGCCTTTTTCAGCGCTGCTGTGCTGGATTGGGTCTGTGCCACAGGCCTGCTCCTCCTGGAATTGCCCCCATGTGATCCGAGTATGACTTGATACGGATCAAGTGAGGCAGAGAGACACTGTCAATCTGTGTCCTTCCCATCCCATTCCCCCTCATTAAGTTTGCTAAGGGTGTTCCATACGTTATCAGAAGGGAGGTGTTGTAGCTGTTTACTCATCCCATTTATCTGCAGACTCCAGCCTTCCATGCCCTCCTCATACAACCAGAACAGCTGCAGGTTCCCAGCTCAAACAGCTCCGTCTGGACAGAAAACACACGATTTGCTACCAAGAACTTGCACCTTCAGTGATTCTCCATCCACCTAAGCACCAAAAGAAGGATTTACACCACCAGCTGATTTCAGGGCTACCTCCAATTACATTTTAAGTTGTGTGAGTCATTTCTCGTTTATGATTTCTGCTGATTAGGGAGAAAAAAAAATAGCTGCCAACTTACTGCCTATCAGGCTGTTCAATATTGAGACTGCACCTCAGTAAGGCTCTGGAGAAGCAAAAATCTTTGTCCCCTGCTGCTGACTCCAGAACAAGCCTGGTTTAGGTTGCAGACTCTGACTAAAGTCTTCAGGTAGAATTGAGTTACTCTGAGTTACTCATCCAGCTCCACCAAACAACGGGGGAATGATCTTTGGATTTCAATTTAGGCAACTGCACATTTACACAAATAGATAATTCAGTGCTAATTTAAGTTTGCATACAACCAGAGCCAATCCACCCCTTAAAAAATGAGTACCTGGAAGAAGTGCTTTCTAAAGCCATCTCCATTTTCTCCACCAGCACTTTTCCATTAGAGCTCGTTTCCTCTTTTATTTTTCTACCTCATTTTACGTTCTCCAGGGGGATTGTTTCGTTCAGGGGAAAGCTCTTCCCTAATGCCTCTGCCATAAAAACACAAGCTGTTCACCTTTTAATGCTTGCCATTAGAGCACAGATCACACCAACCACGTTCTAAACACGGCAGCTCAGCCCGTAAGAGGGTTATGGCAGTTCGGTTTTTTTTCCTAATGTGTTTGGAAATGGGTGTCACTCCGAGCCAAAAATTAAGGCAATCCCTCCCCCAAGCTTTTTTTAGTAAGATGTTAATTGCAGCTGCAGTGTTACAGAGGTGACTTCATCCCCCAGGCAGCACTGGAACACCTTCCTGAGGTGGAAGAACGGATTTGACACTACACAAAGCTCCCAAACACCTCCTCCGGCGGCAGGTGGGAAAAACCCTGGCACTGCTGCACTTCACTGCAGACTGAACCCCTTCTGCATCTCTAAATAAAGAGGACAGGAGTTCTGTTGGGGAATTGTTACTCACCACCCTCTGTACCCATCGTGGTTTTAATTCCAACGCCCACTCCCGTTCCACCCCTCCCCTCAGTACCTGCACTGCCGAGGCCCTTTCCACACTGTATCTACCACCTACCAGCCCCCAACCCCCCTACAACGTGCACTGACACCAAATGCAGATCTCTCCCCAGCTTCCTCGCTTTTTGGAGCCTTCTCCTGCATCCCAACCCCAGCCAACCCCTCTCCCACCATCTCCAGTGCAAGACACACGACTGAGCCTCCTCCCGGTTATCGAGATGTGGATCTTGGCACATTTATCTGCTAAAATGACTCTCAGCTACATCTACCAGCTTGTGGGCAACTCTTGCAGGAGAGGAGAGGAGGGACACCAAGTGAAACCTGGCTGTTGGATGCATTCCCAGCAGGAACTGTTGTAATGCCACCAGCAGACAGTGCATAGGGGTAAGAAAAAAGAAAATTCATGCACAGCACTAGTATAAAATAACTCATTATCACCCTCCTTTGCTAATTGCAGTCCCATCCTCTCCCACTTCAGAGCTTTCTGCTTCCCATGTTGTGCAGTCACACATATAAAAACACAAACAACTACACTCCAGCTGCTGAATTTTCTTCCATCTGTATTTTTATAATCTCAATGATACACCTCTGTATTATTAGTATTACCAATACTAACGTGC